GGGCGCAGTGGCGCATCCTGCGGATTGGGGGTGGAGGAATGGGATAGGGCAGGTTTCTCCTGGACATATTCTTCTTTTTTTGTAGGAATTGAAAAAGATGTGTCAAAATGGTACCACAGGTATGTCGCCTTTTGGGAGGGGGTGTTGAAGATTCATTTGTGGATTAAAAAAATATAAAAAAAACAGTTGGCCCTAACTGGGGACAGAGACTAGCTGGATGGGAACGTAGTTCAAATAATATGACCCGAGATGGTGCTGTTCATATGAGCTTCGAGCGCAATCAAGAGAGGGCGCAATTTTCCTGGCAACGGAGGCTCCTTTGGTAGGAACTGCACTTCGCGAAATCACAAGCCACTATGAAATGCATGCACGTTCTCGCAGCTATACGCTAATGAACACTCCCGACCAACACGGCTAACATGGCTCTTTTTAACCGATGAGGGGGATGCTTTTGCTCAAGGCCAAGAACATCTCAGATAAAACTTCTTATTTAACTGTTTCAGAACAAGTCGTCTTCCCCCTATTTAGATCTGGTTATAAATGGACAAATTCGCAAAACTTCCCTAATAGCTTTCTACATCCTTGACAGCATTAACATGAGAAACTGTACCGTTTCGCCTTCCTCACCACATTGACGACTCTGAAGGCTGTTAGAGGGTCAAGTCCATCAGATCCATTTTTTCGAAAATTGGTGGAACGATTTTCTGTTTGCTTCGCGTTTATTTTATGAGTATATAAAAAGCTTTCCCCTAATGTAGTTTCACTGACCCCTCATAAAGGCCTTAAAGGTTACATATAAACTGTTTAGTTTCTTACCCCAGAACACCCTCCCCCCCAAAAAAAGTCTTTACATTAAGTCTACTGACGTGACGTACGTGGCCTATAGTTTTAGTGACTGTTGAACCCTTTTCGCATTTGTTTCACAAGGTTCCCGTAATACTGTCAGACTGTATATTGACCTGGTGAGAAAAAGCAACATTGCTATGTGTAATCATAATGAAAATTTGATATCCGTTATCTGAGTGATTGCAAGCAATCGGGTTATCTCCTAAAACTAACTTCGAAAGCACTTCCAGAAAGTAGATTATCTTTATAGGTTTCGTTCCACAGGTGCAGGGATACCCACGGACGCGGGAAAAGTAGAACGCCATCCTGGAATAATAGATTTCAACATGTTCGGTGAAAAATGACACCAGACCTTGGTTTCACGGGTTTGGGCCTAATGGAAAGCTCTCTTTGTAGTGAAATGCATTCGTGTGCGCTGTAATGATAATTATTGCCCCCACTGCATGTCAAGTACTTTGTGGGTCGATTAAGAGAAAAAAGAAAGCCGTAGAAGAGTTAATGGTATTCAGTGACGAGCATCTGCTGCAGCCAGGTTTAAGGGGACACTCACCAAATTTGAACTCAGAAGACAAACCCTGTATTCCGTTTTATCACTGTCCACACCGGATTTTATGAATATCCTTTGGGGGTTTTTTTTCTGAATTGCTCAACGATCAACACATGTTGCAAACCATTTTACCCCGCTCAGAAACTGGAGAAGGACTCAAACACCTAGTAATAGTCCGCCTGAGTCAGTGTTTCAACTCTGACGAAACCCAGAGAGTGCCCCCTCTAGAAAATTAGCGCCCCCAAAGTGCACCCCAGTTTCGCCACTGCACTTTCGCACAAGCACCGGTGCCTTTTCCTCAAAAAGCTACCTACATGGTGGGGGGGATTTGGAGCCCTTTCTGAAAGGTGACCGAAAGAATTCTTAACCGTCAAATCGTTGTCCTTCAGTTTTCTTTCAATATTTGTTCACTCCGTGATAAATTCTGCAAATTATCTCGGATATTAAAGGACCACATGGGGCCTGAGTATTCTGTGAACATTTGCCAGTCACAGCGTGTTCAAAATGTTCACAATAATACTTTTGAAGTCGTGGCTGTTCGAGACTATTTTGTACTCGATCGCTAGTGTTTATTTACTTGCATTTGGAAATCTGTCCTCCACACTTCAGTGTTAGAAACCTCTACTGGCAACATCGCTTGTTATGATGATCTACGAATGTGTTACTGTTCTACATAGAGGTTATGAGCTGCTGGTGTCTCAGGGGATGTTTTTTGTTACGTTAATATCGTTACAGTTAATGCACTAAACGTTTACCAGAGTGTCTGTCACAGAAGAGAAAAGCTATACCCTTTAATGTATGTCATACGCATAAGGTTTTATGCATGTGTGATGGACATACACTAACTTATAAAGACTATCCCTTCATTCACGGCTAGCAAGCACTCCTTGTCAATTTGAATTGACATAATATGGAGGGGAGGATGGGATTGAGACCTCCTGGATTTCGACATCAATACAAAAAAGCAGACAAAACGAAAGATCATGGTTATATTGCTGTGTTTTATTGACAGAAGTAAAGCTCGTCTGAATCAATCGGTATGTCATGCATAACTTCCCTAAGACACGGCTTTATTGTACAAGCCAACAGTCACGCGATTGTAATAGAACTGATTTAAACTTTGATTTTCTTTATTTCATCGAATTTTTGCCCCCTCGTAGAAATATTTCTCTTCTTAATTAAACAAGCCGTGACGCTCCAGTCATCAGGTTGGTCGCGTGGCCGCTCCTGTCATGCTCTAGTGACGACGCCGATCAGTCACACTTGGTCACGGGAAAGAAAGCCGCTACATCTCTGTTGGCCTTGATTGGATCCTTTGCGCCGCACATGATATAACTGTGGATTGGCCGAACCAATGAAAAGAAGGTTGTTCGTAACCAGCTGTAAATGTTAGCACGCATGAAACTGGCAAGGAGTTTAGGCGGTGCTATTCACGTGGAGCAATATTCGTGCAGCCACCTGTTAAGGGCAGCACGCTGGTAAGTTAATAATTTGCTTTGAAAAAACAGGTAACAACCATACAACAATCACACAATGCGTATATCTTGTAACTGGTCCCCACTCGCTCAACAGTTAGCACATAAATTTCCTCGGCAAGTGTTTCTGGCAAGCATGATAACTGTAATGAGATTTGGCCCTGTTTGAATGTAGGCCTAAGACCGGCTGTAATAAAAAAAAACACCACGAAAAGTGTCCTCTTTTCAACGCCAAGTTACAAATACCACTGGTTGACAATATTAATGTTTTAAATGGACAACATTTGTTCATACCATTTTTTTCTAGACACATTGGTACCAGGACATGGTAGCAGTGTCAGAAATTGGCAACCGGCGATACAGCTACCAGAATTTTAGGACACGAGTCCACCTTTTAACGAACTCAGACTCGAACAAGAAGGACTCACTCTCGGAAGTGGTGGATCTAACAACGCTAACGGCCACGCCTTTACGCCATCCTAACACTCATCTGTCGTTGTAAGCGGTGGCCTACTTAGAATTTGTCATCGAGGTCCTCGAACCAGAATTCAACTCCCCCCCTAAAAAAACTATGATCCGCCAGCCCCACCCCCGGTTGCGCTACAGTGAACTTGGATGTACGGCTGTATCAGAGCTAGTGGTTCTAGATGTAGGTCTAGGCTATACTGTGTCTGGGTTTTTCATAGAAAGAGAAACAAAACAAGGGGCCCAACTCCCCCTCCCCGATTTTTTTATTCACATTTCTGTATTTTTTATTTTTTTATGTAATTTTGATGTAATTGTATTTTGGTGTGCCCTGGTACCTTGTAATTATCAGGTTTACTTTTTCCCCTAATTTTTACTTCTTAATGTTTGTCGTGCTCCTTTTATGTTTTTTTTTTGTTGCTGTAAATTTGATGTAATTGTATTTTTGATGTTCTTTCAATTTAAAGTTGTAGGAATTTTGAGGGCCCCAAAATAGTATGTCCAATTTTTTTTAAATGGTGTCAAAATGACCGCAAAGAGTTGTAGGTATAGCTTAATTAATGGGTTACCCGCTTTAAAGATAGGTCTTTAAAGATTGTTAAATAAATAAATAGATAAATAAATGCGTCAACAACTGTGACACATACCTCGTTAAGTCATTAGCTGAGTACACCTCAATCTTGTGCACGTAGAAGTCCGGCTTGGTGAACACGTCCCATTCCCACGGCTTGTACCAAGCGGCGTCGTACTCCCACTCGAAATACAGGCCGGACAGCGTGCCCATCGGCGACCCAGCCACCGCCGTGAACCGGTAGTCCTGACCGGGATGAAACTCCTGCGCGTCCCTGCCAGACGAGGCACACCGTGTTGACAGAAAAAAAAATTATATTTCCTTCCTGAGTACAGAGGTTAAAAGTGGAATTATTATAATTTTTATCATTGTTTGATGACAGGATTACCCTAAATAATATTGAGTTCATACAAAAAATAGGGTATATTTTGGAGAGATCTAAACCAAAAAAAAAAAAATTTATCCTGGCTGTAGGGCCTAATTTAAGGCCGTGTCCGAAACAGGCTTAGGCTGTGTCCGAAAAGGGCTTCCCGAGCTATGGCTAGGTCTATTATCTGCGCGTCTCCACGCATTTCCAACGGAGTGAAGACCAAGACCTAGCTCTAGACAAGAGATTCGGATGCAGCTACGGTGGGGTCTAGTATCTGTGCGTCTCCACTTATTTCTAATGGAGTGAAGACCTAGACCTAGCTCTAGACAATAGATTCGGATACAGCCTAATTCTGTCATCTAATTCGGTTGAACAGTATTTTCCTCTCCCGTATACGTAGGCAGAGGTGTGACATGGTGTCCTGTATGGCGCGTATATGACGCCTATTTTGTCTCCAAAAAGATGCTTTGCTGTGCGTGGGGTTAAAATATTACCAATCAAGAATGCAAATTATCAGAGATGTAAACTACTTTTCTCCGTTCTTCGGGGTGAGATGACAATCCACAGAGAAAGGTGATCAATTTATTGTTTCGTGCCTACTGTCACACTAATGGGGTTTTGGAACCAAAATGGCTTATGAAATTAAGTTGTCGAAAATCTCCCTAATGTAGCTCTAACCACCAAGAGGCAGCTATCTCAGGGGAAAACCATAGCTGTGACAATAAAAATCCTTCCAATTTGTTAATGCACTCACGCAGTCAGCTGCAGTCTCTCCACGTTCCCCTCGGTGTTCATGAGGGTAATAAACAGTCTCCCTCTCCCTTCCGCAGATCTCCATGGATCATCGAAGTGAATGTCGAACCGGTAATGAAAACCTGGTAATGCGAAATTTTAAACGTGGGAGTGGCGTTGATGGATAGCATGTCCTCCCTTCAGTACATAAATACTGAATAGTTGGCAGATGATGGCATGCTCTTATTCCATGAGGCGAAGCTGAGTTGAACGATGGAACATTTCACCTGTCATCCACCGAACGGAATTATTCTGACTATGAATCTGAATCTGTTTTGCACAGCGCCAGAATAAATCGGGGGGGGGAGCCCGAATAAAAACCTTAAGGTCGGGAGGTTCTTCATTCACTTAAAAAAGTATAACTGGTGTCTCTCAGTCTATCATCATAGCACCACCAATACTGTGGCTGGAGTTGGCGTGGATGTGGGTAAACCGAATTTCGATTGAATGGATCGTTCCGATTTTGGTGTTGCTCCTACGCGCACCGTCTTGAGATGATTAATAAAATAACACATGATTGATATACCAATCAGATGACAGTAAGGCCTTGTCTGTATCTTGTTGGACCATTTTTTCACCCTGCCACCTCACAACTATGCAACTGGACCCCCCCCCCCCAAAAAAAAAAACAAGTTTCATGTGCGAAAAATGAACTAGCATAGGTTCCAAGGATTACGCAGAAGCGAATAATCCAATTTGTTTTGCATATTTGCTGGGATGCAATCTTCAGGGCTCGTGTACGTGAGGTGAAAGCACCTGGAAAGTATTGTGCGTCAACCGGAAAATGAGTAGTGACAGTCATGGAAGCTTAATGTTCAGCGCTGGAATGTAAAAGGGTTTTTAACAGGTGTTTAACTCTAAATTGTCTTCTGAATGGCATGCAGGATAGTGTATATCACCATTACTCTCCATTTCCAAAGAGGAATAATTCATCCTCTTTGACTGATGTTAATAAGGAGGAAAATCGAATTCGAATGAAATTAATCACTCAAATAGATCGGGGTTTCGTGCCAGTTTCTACGAGGAGTGGTTCTTTTTTCGATATTTCGGTCTAAATTCAAAGCTGGTTTCAATCCAAATCATCCAGTCCCTTTTTTCAAAAGAAAAGGAAAAAGAGATCTCCAAAAAAAGGTAAAACAACAAAAGAAAAACAACGCATTTTGCGACTGGAAACATACCGCAGAACGGTTCTTCCCCGATGGTTTTCTGGTAATAAACCAGGTTTTTCGAGCCGTCCGCGGGCTTGTAGAGGTCAGCATGGAACCCCATCTCTGCTATCCGTTGGGTGAGCACGCAGGGCCCCTCGAGGAAGTCCGCTACGTACTCGCCCTCGCAGTAGAACGCCTCGTGGCAGCGGGTCCCGACAGAATCGGTGAAGAGCTTATTGACTCGATTATGGTCGCAGGTTACAAACTGGACGCCCCCTGGCGGGAGTAAGCGCAAAATTTACGTCAGCAGGGACACAATCTATATGTTCATGTTACTTTGGATAATAAAGAGATCGCAAGTGAGGTTCCCCCGCCTCAAACCAAGTAAAGTTGGAGGTGCAAAATCATGCCATTTACTTGGAATAACCCAACGATCACGAACACCAGCAACTACTCACATACAATGAGTCCCTTACGAAAAAAAAAATGTGAAATGAGTGAAAGCAACTTTTACTTTACTTTTACTACAACTTTATACGAGCCCTCCCTTCCTTTACTGTCCTTTATTATAGCACCTCTTTTACAATGATTTTCCACTCTTTTGGAGTGATTTCCACTCTTTTAAGAGTGGTTTTCACTCCTCTGGAGTCAATTTATTGGGGAATTATTCTTTTTGAGAAAGAGTTGTTAGGGTCTTTGTTTTTAGAGATACTGAAAATACTGAAGCCGTATGATCACTTCAATATATCTTCCCAATATTCTTGAATAGCCAAACATCCAAATGCCAAAAGGAGTCCGGCAGTCGCACAGTGAAGTAAAAGAATCTCTACTTGGAGGAAACAGTCTCCTTCATTCCCCTGTCATACTGCAGTTCCATACCGTCAATGAACCCGCCCTCTGTGATGATATCCTGAGTCACTGACTGGTCACAGCCGGTTTGGTCATCTCCGCCGTTCACGTAGAAGTCCAAGTGCCCGGATGGTTGGTAGATGCCCATGCCTTATCGTGATAAAGGAACGCATACTTAAATACACATTGGTTTATATGCGATGCACGGTTGCTAGAAATGTTCAACCATGGAGGTATAAACATCTGAATCCATGGTTTAACTTAAAATAGTCGAGGTATAGCTCTCCATGTCCCCCTGTTTTTCTCATCACCAACAGCTCAGGGGATGATTGAAAGAATATTTCTGCATGTCTCTGTTAGAGCTTTAGCTTGAAATAAGCCAGTGACGTCAGGAGGCCATTCAACTAGGCATCAAGGGGCGTAAAAGAAACTTGAGAACCTGCTGTGTCCAGGGTTTACGAAATACTTGAGGGCCAGCGAATGCAAGGATGTGCCGTAAGACACACGAAGATTTCAAATATTCCGGTGTCTCCCTAGAATTTCGATTCCGGAATAGCGTTCAAAGCTATGTAACCAACCTGAAGTTGGAAGGAAAAATAGTCTGTTCCTTTTTATCAGTATGTGAAGTTGTGTTACTATTGCCACTAGGTCTGCAGGGAACAAGACAAATATGGCAGCATCGTGATACAGGTCAATAAGGCACTGCGAGAGGCCCGCCCGCCTGATGCTCCAAGCAGGACCGGATAAAATACTCCACAGGTAGTGTTGCGCAGGCCCATCACTATAGGCCCTAGAAACTACCCCCCGTAGGCCATACTCTGCACCAGATTTCTTCACCGGTTTCGGTAGACCTGGTTATCGAACTGTGCGTATGTAGCAGCTCGTGTGAAGTTTTCCCAAAATCAACAATTCCGAAAACGACGCTGAAGGCTCTAACATCTTTTGTGACGTTCAGTTTGCGTGGGTCTGTGTTTCAAGGCAACAATGGAATTTTAAAAGGCCCTGAACTTTGTCGCAGGTCCCAGATTTCTTCCTACGTCCTGGGCACAGTGCTATTGAATAATCTGATCCTTGCTGCAAGATATTTGTTAAACAAGAAAATGACAATTTAATATGAGCGACACATCTTCGACGTATCTTCGTCATAACTTTGTATACGACCCACCGAGAGTCCAGATCGGGTTGACGTTGGTGTGGATGACATCGACAAAGACAGCGTCCGTCTCATCCAGGCGAACACGCGGGTCGGTGGCTTCGAAGTACGGTCCGGCTGGATCCAGACCTGACCGGGGGTGGTGGAGGAAAGGCAAGGCAAGATGCCATCATAAAATGTCAACGGGCTCAGGTGGCATGGTTTCGATCGATACACTGCAAATTTTTGGTACATATCTCGTTGGAGACAGACCAAACTGCCATTAGCTGGTTCTTGTAATTATGACCAGAACACGTGCGTCGGATGCACGCTCGGTGCTGGTTTCCGGTCCAGGCGACAATCAATCTGACTGGGGGATACTGTTCTCAAAGTAAAGTGTCATGCTCGGAAGGTTTTGAAGGCAGCTTGTCCGGGCCAAAAGTTTCAACTCGGATATTAAAAGTTTGAACATCAAACTTCAAATTAACGATGCCATCAACGATTCTATATCTTATACATCTTTCCTCTAATCTGGAGCCAAGGCCTACAGGATATCTATACAGGTTAATCTATACACATGCGTAATGATTCCTCATTACGTGTGATCAAGTATGGAATTTTCGTATTGACAAACTTTTAGCACATAGGCCCTAATATTTAATAAGAAGGCCTTAAAGTGATTTTCTTTGCGAGAACAGGATATCGCATTTCCATTTTAGGAGGAGCAATGGATATAAGAACACCAGCCTTGAAAAATGTAACGGCGTTGCAGACCCACAACTCGGTTTCCAGTTTCATTGGCAATGCGGTTTGTTTGTAGGATTAATCTCTAAAATGAAAGGAATTCAACTTTGGTTCTGACTTACCAGTGATGCGTCCAATATCTCCTTGTCTCTCCCCAGCGTAGCCCATGACGTGCCCACCCAGACTGTGCCCGACGAGATGAATCGATTGGCCCGTAATATTGTAAACTGCCTGGAATCGAACCAGGATTAAAGGAAACAATCTTACGCAGAGTCTCAGGTTGTCTTTATAGTATACCCTACAGGCCCAAGAACTGTATATTCGCTCAAGAGTACTTGGATGCGCTACAAGAGGCGACTTTTTGAAACTCATTAGAAAACTCTTAGGAGCTGATCCAGGATTTTTTGCCAGGGGATGGTTTTTGAAATGTTTGCATGGGTGGAGGTACTGTGTTTTCCGTCCTTGATGAATTCATTTAATCTCTTTGTTTTTGTCCTCAACCAAGACCTTCAGAGTGTTTATGCTAATTAGGGGGGCTTGCAACCTCAAGACGTAGGCTGCTAAAACAAAAGCAAAACAAAAATTTGGTGATGAGCAGGAAATTCTTGCAGACGTGCGATTCGGGTCGAGACAGCTTCAACCTTCTCCTAGATTTGACCTGGCAAACATACTGACAAACAAGAAAACAAAAAAACAAACACACGTGGAGTTTCCCGTCTCAACTTGCCTTGATTCTGTCGATGAGCAGGGACAGCTCCGCCCCAACCACCCGCGTGTTGGCCGTGCTCTTGGAGTAGAGGGCCAGCGACCCCTCGTTCCAGTTCACCCGGATCACGTTGTAGTCCCCGTAATTCAGCAGCGCCATGGCCATGTCCACCACCCACTGCTTGTCCCCATTCTCGGTGAAGCCATGGCAGATGATCTTGGTCTCCTTGGCGGGGTCGAAGAAGGAGTTCAACAGGGACGCACTGTCCGTGTTCAGCAGGACCTGTAAAGGAATTCGAGGTGAGTGTCATGTACAGTAGGTCGGGGGCGGGGAGCAGTCACGGCCATCCATCCCCAAAGAAGTTTTTTTAATGTTTTGAATTCAATCGTAGAGGATTGCGTTTAGATGCGGTTCTTCTTTCATACACCCTGAGTTGGTGAAGCACCTCCAAATTTACCTCCATATTTCAGCAAGACGACAAGAAGAAATCTTTGGCCTTCCAAAAACTTTGTTTCTCTGGGAACCGTATTTGGGGGTCGGGGTCGACACTTGAGATCAGATTTTAAGAGGTAACTCATCATTCCATGACCAGTCCTTGGCTTGCAGAATCTTGCATCGGCTGAGAAAAACATCATCTCCATCTTTATTTAAAAGCACGACTACAGTTGATAAAATTGCATTTTTGAGATTAAGTGTAAAGTTGGAAGGAAAAGAGAAGAAGACTTCGTTTCGATTTCGACTGCAGAAGATTTCGAGTCCTAGGCCTGCGTACCTGCGCCAGCGAGGGATTCTTACGAGTGTTGAGATGGAACGTGGTAGCGATAGCCTCTGGGGACTCCGGCAGGACGCTGACAGCGCGGTACGGCGGGTCCAGGAACGGGTAGCCGGTGTTGAAGCACCCGAGATCCCCATAGCACACCTCGTCCTCAGTGGTGTCATCTTTGTCGAACAAACCGCCTGAAACCAAACTATTGGACGTCTTAAAAACCAAACTGTAGCACAATACATCTTCCAATCGGAATGATTTCAGCTTTAAAAATTTTCTGATCCAATTAACAAGACTGCGTGGTAAGGGCTTTATTTTTCCGCTCCATTATATCAAATTCTTGTCCCGTTTTGGTTACAGAAATGGGCATTGAAGAAACAAGTCCGACAACAGTCGAGTTTGGGAATATTTTGGTGCTGTCCTTATATCGCTTTACTATCAGACCTAATCAGACTCAACTTTTCCAGCAACTGCCCGTTAAAATTTTCTTAAAGTAATAGAAACAAAATTTTGAAAAAAATGGTATGTGAAATGTTATTTGTGGATCTACTAAAAGAATTAAAGAAAGTAAAGGAAACAAACAGGAAAACGAATTCCTAAGAACAGTCGTTCTGTAATCTCAATGTGCCGACGAGGTTTGCTTTTTCATAGTCCGCTTTTTTCATGACGAACAAGCCTAATGCAATATAATAACCTTTTTGTATTTTTGTTGCTCATTCAATTCCTCTGGGCTGAACTGAAATGAATTTTCACGAGACACCAGATGGGGGAAAGATTACCTTCGATTTGTATGGAAATATCCCCCGAGCTGCCAACTACAACTAATGTCATCCAAACCGCAAGTCTCGCTATCCCCTAGGGCTGTTTTCTGTCATTTGGTAGACCATTCCCAAACCAATATTAACTAGGCAGCTGGGTGTTTCATAGTCAGCGGCGTATCCAGCTTTTGATATCGGAAGGGCACAATCAAAAGCGAATGCGGCTTTGGGCTTATTCAACATGATGCTGGTGGAGAAATGATTATTAAAAGCCTTACTCGCCGTCCCGACATCCTTGCTTTTATTTCATGTTTTTTTTCATAGGGTTTTGATGCTAACATTTGATAAATAAAATCATATTGGTTACTTTCTTAAGAATGAAATATTCCTTGTTTTAAAAAATCTGTTCGGGGGGAACTTCCCCACCCCGCTAGATACTCCACTTGTATATAGCGTCTATTATCCGACTGTTAACGCGACTGTTATTTTTGGAGCATTTTTCACATTTTAAGGATTCAAATCAAACTGAGTACTTGAAACTGTGTATCAGCATAGGTTTCAACGTACCCTAGCAATCTGACAATTTTGAATGCGTGGGCAAAGCCAGGAAACGCTGGGAAACACCCCCCGCCTACTATAAACGTCTGCTTTGTACATGTACACCTTCTTTATGGGTCTGCTGTACAACGGCGTGTCCAGCGGGGGGCGGGACAACTTGCCCCCTACCGACTTTTTTTTATAAAGAATACTTCATAGGTGAGTAGGAAAGAAAGTAATCAGTATATTAATTTTTCAAATATTATAGCACCAAAACCCGAAGAAAGCATCCTCAAGAAAAAAAAGCAAGGATGTCGGGACCGTGGGTAAATCTTTTGATTTCTGCCCCAACATCATGTTGAATGAGCCCGAAGCCTCATTCGCTTTTGTATCCCCCACCACACCAAAAGCTAGATATGCCGCTGGTGCGGTTAATGATACTTTACCGTGGACGACTCCAGCCAACGCCACAAGAATCAGGACGCGCACCACTTCCCAAACTTTCATATCGAAGCTGTCTGTTCTTCAGCCCCGTGTCGAAATGATAGTCGAGCAAAATCCGCAAATTATAAGAGACAACCCTGACCACCGCAAGCTTTTTAAAACCCCTGGCGTCCTTAGAATAGAGTGACAAAAAAGCATCCTAATCCAGCATTACGCGTGATATCACGAACGATTAGGATGTTTAAAAGGGGAATCCTATTATATGCAAATCTGGGATGAACCAAAAGATTATTGTTCTTATTATTTTTACCACAATGTAAAATTAATAGGTAAAGTGCAGTTGTCTCGTTCATGTGTTCGTTTGCAGGAGGCCGCGGGGGTAACTTAATAGATTCCGTGCTGAAAATCGAAAATGCCACTGTGATCCAAACGGTTCCAATGGAAAAATTTGGTCAAACACTTTCAAGGTGGAAAAGTTTGAAGACAATTGAGACACCTCCTTTGGTTTAAATGGTCGCCCACTAGTTTTCCACCAACAAAACGTATCCTTCCTGCTTCTCCGGAAAGATGAGGGCGCTCTTACTTTACGGGCTCCAGGCCGGATACCAGGTATCGTGAACTCACCAATAATGATAAAATCCAGAGTCACTGAGTCATCCCACTGAGTTGTGTTGTTCTGTTTTTACTCAAGTAACCCCCCCCCCAAAAAAAATGGCTGGAGGCTACCACAAGAAGGTGAAATTCAGAGGAGGACCAAAATGCCGTTTATTTCGTTTGGGCAATAAATGTCTCCCAAAGAATGACAATATAAATCAGCTGAATTGGTAAATATGCATGTATTTTATGGCCTCTGTGAGGCTACATTTTGGGAAGGAAAGCGTAGGAGAAAGACCCAAAGAATTAAATCGCCCTTTCTCTCGTTAATAAAAGATTCCTCTCAATTACAAAATTAATGTCGTGAACGTGATTTCGACAAGTGAACGTTGGCTTTGATAGCGCCCTCTGCTGAGTCTTGCCTATTTTTTTTTGTTGTGCTGAGTTTAGCAGGTGGCCCACTTAATGGTATGCGCAGAGTCCAGTCCGATCCCGGCACGTTTCTAGACTCACAAAAGTTCATCTTCACCTATCCTTTAATCATGACTGAGAGCGCTTTGTAAGTTGTAACTTTGTATCTGTTTCATGTTCGGAATGTTAAATTAAGACATGACAACGATAACTTCTAGACCCTATTTCGTTTCAAAGATCGAGCGAATTCAGGTTGAATACTAATTTCTTTTGTTTTAGTATTAAATTAGAAATATAAGCCTTGAGGGACTTGCTTGGCGAGTTTATGCAGTTACTCACAAGCACTGCGGAATGCCTGTACATTGTGTTGCAATCATGCATACCCGATCGGCATCGTGATAGTGTACATGTACATGTCCAAGGTATATAAGTACATGTACACGGATGGACGGAACTCGGGGTGAAAATGGTGCCGAATTGGACGCCAGTTCTCGGCGATCGTGACTTCAAGTCGAAGCTGCAATTTGGCTCGAACGAAGAATCAGGATCCATCTTAATCCGAGTCAACTCCTTTGAACTTGACTGGTAAGTTTGTTGGTAGAAAATCCTTTTTGAGTGTCACGAGTTGGAGGCATGTTGCCGACCCACGACGTTGCTTGTTGATCGATGTTTATCTACACGCAGCATAGGCCGTGAAGCAGTTGTGTGTGGTCGATCCTAACTGACCTTCGTTTGACCCAGCAGTGGTCACGTACGGTATACAGTGGACGATGGTCAGTCTTGGCCGAACGGGCACGGTGCATTATGTATAGCCAGTATAATACGAACTATGCATATGATAGTTATAATTTTTGATGATTCAGAGTGTGTTCTTGTGGCGTTTAACCTGCTGACAAAATTGACACAGCTTGGAAAGAATTCCACGGTAGGATGCCGCTAAATTTAACCTTCCTCTATGTGTGCACAAACCTTATGAGACTGGGCCGAAAAATTCAAAGCGTTTTCTGAGTGAATTCCTCAATATTCTCACAGTTGCAGCTAAATGATTTGTAGGACATTCTATCTAGTACTTTGAGATAAGTCACTGCAGGAAAAAACATTGCTTGCGTCTGTATAAGTCTTTCCAATGGGTCTAACATTACAGAAGTTCGAGTTTTACAGCTTTCACGACATTGTCTTGGCCTGTCATGCCATATAATGGTCATGCTGGCATTGCGGTCACATTATTTGCGTGCACATTATAGTACTTAACGGTACATGTAGTTTTACCAATAAAGACTTGCAGGTACACACATGTATGTCCATACAATTATCAAATTGTATTGCCAGTCCTTCATTTGAAGGGAACGCATTTGCGCAGGTGCTCCTACTGTGCTCCTCAACACTCCTAAAGGAGCATAAAAAATCATGCCCTTAAAGAAATGTAAGGCAGGGCACTTTACAAATAACAAACGATATGAAAAACACAGTGGAAAGCATCACCAAAAAAGGACCGTGATTCGTTTGTAACTTAGGATTTGACGTTCATTCCGCCGCGACTGTCATACGTAGGCCTATAATTATTGTACGAATATCGCGAGCGCGTCCTGCTTTAGCTTTCAGACCGGCCAGCCAGCCCTGCACGCAGGTGTAGCATGCACACTGCACTGGTACATACATTATGCTTGCACATGTGCACAATATGTATGTCGCACGCAGTTTCGCTGTACATGTTACAACCTGTTATGTGTTTTTATTGGTCAATATTGGTTTTCAATACCAAGAGAGCCAATCAGTATCAATCTTCTTTATGGGGCGCTTAAGCAGAAAGTGCTGTGTGCCGTGAGCTTTTGGTCATCGTGAAAACGTTGCTCCGTGCATGCATTCATGTACAGCGTGTGCGCTCATTGAATTCGCGCAGGAAACCCCCTCCCCCAGCGTGTCAGACCATTGTCATACGTAAACACTGTCAACATGTTTGCATGTGCCTGCACGAGTGTTGGTTTGACGTTTTCCTATTTTGATTGAGGTGGGTTAGTTACCGTCTGCATCAACTGAACAAAGTTGAAGTGCAGTTTAAACTTTTAAATCCCCTTCAGGTTGGTTTGTATTTTTTTTTTGGAAAGAAATGCTTAAATCAGGATGAAAAAGGTTCACTTCCACTTTTATTTAAATTAAAGGGACACGTACATGACGGACAACAGGGTTGAATTGTAGGTTGAAACTCACATGAAACGTTAGTTAGGCCTAAATAGTGTATGTAAAATTCGCAAGTACAAAAATTCTGGTTCAAATTAGAGAAACAAGCACTGAAATGATGTATCGTAAACCGGTTTCTGAGCTAAAACTAAATTAATTTTAAAAATTGCCCCAAGAACATTATAAATCATCAGAGAAAGTGGAAACAATGTAGATCCCCCAGGTAAAAACAATCGGTTGACCTCGTTTTCTACTTCTTTTAATTGGTTCATTTTAAGGAGAGCAATTTGCTCTCCTTAGAGATTTGGGGAGAGCGATTTATGGCTCGCCTGGATTTTCTTAAAATGAAGGACTGTATTACCCCTTTTTCCTTCCCGCATTGCCTTTCTACCATTGTCCAAATCACCCATGGGGTATTAACGATAAGGCTATACTGTAGGCCGTATCCCTTGAAGATTTTTTTTAAATATTTAAAAACTACTTTTTAGGGAAATGTAGCCCCTACTGGTCTGGTTTCTGTTTCCAGTGCTGCAGGGTGGTGCATCAGAAGTAATACGGTAGCAACCAGTCTAAATTGTAACCAGGATCAACAAGTTTGCCCTATGGTACATGTACATGAAACCATTCCCTGATACATTTTCCTTGATAGTGTCGGAATTTTCCCTTATTTTTGGATATTTTTTGATTGATTGATTATTTTTGTGGCTATGGTAACTCCATTGCATGTTAAGCTGGTTATAAAAAGTGAGAATATGTTAAACTGTACACATGTATTGATACATGTACAGTTGGATATTGTGGTTCATATGGACCAATTATGAATTTTATTTTTACATTCACAATAAGTGACTACGCTGTTTTTTGTCCTCAAAGTTGCTACCATTGTTACATGTACATGTTCAGATCTTGCCTCCCATTCACCGCTTATGTTACATGTACTGATATGTCCAAAATTCATGAGCATTGCACCCGACTTCAAATTAGAAAGAATCTCATACAGATGCCACTAATATTTCATAGAGTTACCTATTAGCCATTTGAAAGCAATAACATGACTTAAAAAGCCAAATTTAGCAGGGAAAATATTGGTGAGTACAAAACTAAATTTTTTACACCAGTCTCATAGGGTTTGTGCACAAAATGCCACGTGGCCTCAGTACTTGTACACTGTATAGGGAATGCTTTCCTTAACATTTGTCACAGCTTTCATCAGAGTAGGCCTATATGCTGCTAGAATTACATATAGATTTAATGGCAAGGACGTGATTTGTGTGTGGAAATGAAGATTGACCGATAATGAAATCCTATCTTCAGTCCTTGTCGTTGGTTGTTTTGACGGAGGGCATGCAAAACACATACATGTACATGTATGCAGATGTATACTGGGATGTCTCTGCTAGTGGAATAAGGTATTGTATGTTGATAAATTTTTGATCTGTATACTATCCACGTACATTGCATTTGATTGAAGTATGCTTGAAGGTAGTTTAAGGCTTGGACGCAGATGTAAAACCCTGGAATTTTCAAACTCAGAGGACATTTCCTGTGTCAATATTTAAACTGAATTTTTCCCAAGAATATTTCAGAGTTACACCTTAAATTTCACAGTAGGGTAGGTAAAAAAATAAAAAGAAGCATTTGTCACTTTTCTGTGTGGAGACCTCTATCCACTCATGATTTAATATGTTCTGTAATTCTGTCCATTAATGTGTGGGTAAAAATTGAAGATTTGACATACATGCATGAATTACACTTGCATAAGAGCTTTTTTGGCCAAATAGGTCATCTGAACTTCCCTTGCGGAGGCCAGTTAATTCAATTGTTATTCATCGCAAGTGCCACACCAAACATGGTTTGACTGAAATCGTGACTTCGTGTAGCACTTTCCACTATAAGAATTATTAAGTAATAAAATTTGTCTAAAATAATGAAATTGCATTTACACACGTACAGTACATGCACCAGTACATATTGCAAGTTACATGTACATGTACCTGTAACAAGTGCTGTACGTTGCGACCAAAACAGTCGCATTTGGGCCTAAAAAATTATCATATGCGGCCAAATGATTTTTGCCCGTCAGTCACCCACCTTGTCAGTCATACGTCACGAACGATCATTGCCCGGGTTTCTGCTTCATGTACATGTACGTGCACCGAGCGATGTTTGTTGGTGATTCTGAGAGAATGGAGAAATGATACTGAAACAAAGTTACAGTAAATGTGAAGTGTTCCGTAGATTGGTTTTGCCTTCCGTATTCCAAGACATATGGATAGCCTACTGCTTTACAGAAGCAGTCACAAATTCATTGGATGATTTACATCTGGTTTCTGGAAGGGCCTTCATGCTATTTTTTTTTTTAAGTGCTGTAAAAAATAGCAAAAGATCAGATGTGGTCAGAAGAATGTTCGCATTAGTTGCATAGTTCCAAACCTCGTCACTTTCTCCTCAATTCTAGACCAAGTACTGATATGTATTTGGGTTGATCATAGAGGCTTTGCACAGTAGCCATCATGCAGGGCAGTTCTTTGTTCCACAGGGAAACTTCTTTTGTGCATACCCTGTGGAACAAAAGCACTGCCCTGCAAAATGGCAGCCCTTCAAACCCTCTATTGATTTTATGGCCACACTGTTCTTGTTGATCAGGCAACAGAGGAAAGCTACAAGTGAAACTCTGTAAACTAAACGTCATACCGGTAATTTGTTTTATAATAATAATAACAATAGGATTTTATGTAGTGCTTTCAACTAAAATCAATGAGCTTTCCTTTATTATTACCCCTGCTCACTGGGCCCATGAAACATTCCAAATAAATTATTGCATGCCTCTTCAATTATTAGAGTCTGTGACAGTTTGTAGAAATAGACGCCTGCCTCAAGTTACAGAACATTAAGAGTGATGCTCTTGATGTACTGGTTCCTATAATGAAGGCTACCGGTACATGTACTTCAATGTGAATATTACTCGTGTAAACGTACGACCACCACATTCAGGTTAAGACTACATGTACATGATACCATGCTTGTAATACACTGCCCATGTGTACACCATGCTGTTCAAAAGGCCTGAATACAGTCTACAGTGTTCAGGCACAATGGAGTGCAGCCCCCCACCCCATTGTTATGATAACCAAACCAAGCCCGCCCTACTCAATATTTGCATTTAACTAAACAAGCCCTTTTGAAACTGGCCAGCCATGCAGGACAGTGCTTTTGGCAGCATGGGGCAGGATGTGCTATTGTTGGTCAGTTGTTGGCTGGATTTGGGCCTTCAATTGCAGGCAGCAACTGGTCCTCCTGAGGTCTGTATTGATTTTTTTTTCTTTTCCTCTTACACCAGAGTTCCCACAAGGGGCTTAAATTTACATGTGGTTGATCTCGGTGTGTATTGCCAGGTATGTAGGGATTGTGCCGTTCTTAATTTAGAAGGTACGCTGTAAAATTTGATAGGGGGTGGCTTGCCTCTCTGTGGGAAGGGAAGGGGGGGAGGATAGAGTGGGAGGCTAAGAAACCGAACGTCCGCTGGAACTCATGTCAAGTGCCAGTACCTGCGGGTTTGCACGATAACTGTACGTAACAGTACAAAGGACTGTGGACATGATGCACTGTTGATTGAAGCAAGCGGAACTCAGCAAGGACTTTACAAATTGTTGGTTTATTGTGGTTTTGCATGTAGCAGACTGGGACACGAGAGCTGCGGTGGCAGCGTGATACACGGTATCGCCGGTGATTTGACAGGAGAGAGTTACTACAGGACTTGTTAAACGCACTTGTGAATTGTGAACGATCAAGACCAAGTCCTCTTAGTATGAAAAATTAATCCCTGCATTTCATAACAAATGTGTTTATGGGTATGCACCGGCTTGTTTTATAAAACCCTCGCAAAAACTTACATGTACAGGTAAATCTATGGCCTTGCATTTTGTAATTGTTAAAATGTGTATGTACCAATGTAACCTTCACATGAACAACGGCATCACAGCTTTGCTTGTGAATATGGAAATATTCCAGCCCAAAAGCCAACAACTTGGCAAGAAGCCCTTTGAAAGAGTGAAACAGAAATGGAATGTGAGACACAAAGGTGCATTTTGGGGTTTGAAAATCCATACCAGCTACCCTTTTAAAGGAACCAGGAAAGAGAAATATTTTTATAGAGTTGACAAAAACCCTGAAATTGTGTCTTTGGGTTTCAAATAACCTTATTTTAAGTTTCTGTTCTGCAACTTTAACCCATATTTTGATGCTTTTTTTTGTTTTTATGCTATTTCATATTTGCATAATTATAAGCAGAACTATGATGTCATCCAAGGCACCGAATCTCAATGTTGCACTGATTTGTGCACAGAAAATGTCTGGATTTTTTTAACCACCAGTATGACAGATTTCATTTTCTTTGGCAATTTATTGCTGTGTAAGTATACATGTACGGCAATAATCCAGCAAATGTTTTACATTATACCATATACCTACATGTACATGTATTATACATTTCCTGATTTGTTTGAAAGGACTAATAAATATCTCATCGTAGGTGTGGATAAGGGTTATATTTCCGGTTTTGCAATACAATCTGGAGTAAAATAATGTAATATTTCAAAGAAGTTAATTATAATGTGGTCAAAGAGGAAGAGTTTTACAGTGTACAAATAATGGGGGTTTTTCAAAATATTTTCATGTATTAGGAAACTTCTATGGAATTTTCACAATTTGAATATATTTTGATTTCACTTTCAGAGAGACTACGTTAGGTACATTACGTGCACATGTACTGTTATTTGAAAAGAAATATTAAACCTTTCATTTACGTGTTCTGTACCCCATAAATCCTCTTATTTTCGTATATGTACATGTATAATCTGTTTTATTTATAGTTGTGGATTCAAGGGGATTTTGTGTATTTTGATGGGAGATAATTTTTCTTTTTGCGCACATTGTTATTTGCCTTGTGTACTGTATGTATACTAGTTATTTAATTGAAAACAGAAATTCTCACTAATACATGTATATACCATACATGTACGTCCATCGTACATGTGTGTACATATTATTCAGGCTGACGTTCGGGTCGCCCTCCTTTTGTAAATTCTGGGTCCAGCCCTTTTAATCGCGAGATCTACATGTAACTCTGATTCATGTACTGTTTGTTAGAACTTTCTCTGCTGTGTAAACATTGAAACCTGACTTGCGGTAGCGTGAACTTGTGTTACGAATAATTTGTACCGGTAACAACAGCATATTGCATACCGGTATGTTCGTATCATTTTTTGGACAGTGCTTTCATCATCGGCAGTAATTTTCCATTTTTCCAAGTAAAACCTAAGTGAAACAGCACGTACATGTAGTTTGCAAAGATGGTCAATTCCACATGCCATGCTTCAGTTTATTGTCCATAAACATTGATGTATGCCTCTGTTCATGCTGCGAACATGAGCACACATGTAAACTTATTGTACTAACAACTTCAAAATTCACACATACTTGTAAAACAGAAGGGTTTGGGGTCATGCGTCTTAGCATTTTTCTTCAAACTCAAAATAACGTACAAATTTCACAAGGCATATTGCACTCAACGAAGTGTGTTCCCATCATAACTGAACATTTTCATTGAAAGTAAGCTGCCTTTGTGCATGCAACACGATCCACGCTATATTCTTTCGATTTGCTTGTCTCACTTTCAGTGACTTATGAAGTAAAAGAGATTCACTTTTGTTAGGCAATCCCAGATTATGCTCAGCTGTTACGTATACATGCCGTCATTGGATTTATAAACATGCATGATGTGATGTTCCGTTAACAGCCTCAAGGGAAGACCTTATACATGTTGTGAACACATCATCATGTTTCTATCTTTGGCACAGTATGGTGTTTAGATTACATTTGTATTTAACCAGGAGTTTCTTCCCAATGTTTTCCTGTGACAGTTGAGCCAAACGCCAAAAGGAACATTCCTATTTCTGACGCTGGGGGAATCGTCCACATCCGTGTACTACTCTGTGACTTGCGGCGACGTCCGTGTACTTGATCCTACTGCCAAGATCTGTGGTTAAATTTGAGCCAATCTTCACACCTGCTGGTACGAGAAATTTAGGCGAGGCTCCAAACAATCGATTGATCAGTTGGTGAGTACATGCCAGTCACTGTACATTTGTGTACATGTGTACAATGTAGAGGCACTTACCACTGGAAGGGTTGAAAGAGTCCAGCATCTAAAGCAAATCCCCATAAAAATTGCAATAGATATGGTCCCAAAGGAGCAATGAAATGGCAGTTGGATCAGGGAAAAGATGGTGTTGGGTAACAGTGCCTGCACTTTCAAAGTGGATGGTTGTTAAATGTATGTAACAGGTGCTCCCAGTGTGGAGTAGTTACATGTAGTTATTGCAGTATCAATTGTCAGCACTCATTGACAGTAAGATACAACCATCACTGGTATCCGTGGAGGTTTTGATGAATGACATCCTGCTGGTCAGGTGATGTTCTCTTCTGATAGACCCCTCAGTGCTACCCTTACACATTTAAATTTACAGGCCATCCGGGAACCCGGTGCCCATAAAATTGAACCTAACACCAACATGGCCAGGATAAGAAAAAACAAACATGATTGAAATACATAATGCATTGAACTTGCCAATCGCCCACCAACAGCTTTCAGACATAAATTAGAAATCCGTTAAAGCATTCCTTACAGCCAGGTTTTCATTACAGGTATGCAAGTTTTGCCACACATATAAATTTTGCTTTTGGTCCATTCTGTAACCATATACCGGTATTTATGCTTGGCTCTTCACTAATTGCACAAATAGACCAGGATGCACTGTGTAAACGTCTGAGGAAAGGCCCCTTGTTGCTGGTACCTTTCCTGTTTCTTCACTCTGGAGACTTTACCAAGTGATTTGTCGGGATGGTTAACGGTGCCTGGTTTTAGATTTTTGAGGTGGCTCCTGACATCATCAGTTGGGTACTCAGGTACCCTACTCTGATGCACAACAAAGAACGCTCATTGGACGGCCTGGGGGAAAGGGAGGGGGAAAGGGATAAGGGTAGAGTCAGCCCCAGCCTGGCTCTAAGAGCCTTCCACCCCCACCGTTACCACCGCCCAACCCCTCAAAAATGGTTTGCTTGGGCATGTAATATTTGATGCAATATGAACGAACATGTACATTAAAACTTAGATTGTCCTGCACTTTTATTCAGGGACCTTGGCCACACAGGGGCTGGTGTGACACCCTTCCCTTCTCCCTCTCCCCTCCCCCCCCACAATTTTGTCATGTACCGGTGCATGTCGGCCACTGCTACAGGGCCATACAGTGTACATATTTTCAACGTCTCCTTGTCGCAACTGAAGGACACTGTTACCACTGAAGCATGTACAGTACACATACATGGAACTGGTTGTTCCATTTTAATATTACATGTACATGTACGGTACAAAAGTCACCAGATTTGTACATGTATGCCCGTAGGTGCGTTTCACATGATTTACAATGGGTCACCAGAACTGTATTCCAGCTGCTACATGTAACTTCATGACAACTCACTGTGCCAGTCACACGAAAGGGGCCGGGTCTACGGAAGATGTTTGGTGTTATTTGGATAATGATCGTGCATGGTGTGTAAACATACGGGCCTGGTACTGCCTTTGAAATTGGCTCAAATTAGGTTTAACGTTTTTGTGTCTGGCTATTTGTGCTGGTACGTGCATCTGATTGCTTTGTAAGCCAACCGAACTTGGAATTGAAGTCATCTGTGTGGAAAAGTTCAACTTATTAACCTACATGTGCATGCACAGTGCTAGAACATTGAATCAAAGTTGCACATTCATATATATACATGTAGGGAACACACCTTGAAACATGGATGTCGTGGGAAAAATAAACATTGCGGGGACACTTTTAGTTGTGAATCACGTGCAGACCACGCACATATAAGGGCATGTACGAACTGTTAACTGCTTTTACAGTAGCTAAATCTTCAATCAGGTACTGAACATCTTTGATTTTGAAAGTGTAATCCATGTGCTGTACCTACGTACATGTACCTGTAATAACATGCACGCCTTGACATACATGTATGTGCACGCTGGATCCTGTAAGGGGACTGAAGGGGGGGTCCGCAAGTGTAAACGTGAGGAGGATAGGGGTCTGATATGAAGATCTTGATTCTCCTTTCGGATGCCCCTTTTGGAGAGGATCAGACCCTGCAGTTTGACCTGTAACCACATCTTGTATGCGTGGCACAGTTGAGTTTGGAAGTCCGAAAGTCGCCAAAAATTAATATTTATTTGAGGGATGGCCCGTCCTGTGCCTTTCCCCGCATAATCCAAAACTGTCTAAGATCTCAGTGGATTTTGAACAAAATAGCTCTTCAGCAGCAGACAGACCCAGAGCTAATTAAGCTTCGAGAAGAGTCTGGTCTTCAGTTTGAAATGCGTGGTTGGTACAGCTACGTGTACCACACTGCTCACAATGTATACCGGCGTGGTGGGTACAATACATGTATTTCTTCCACGACCAGACCACATCTACAGGTACATTTCGCAGACAGGAAAGTGCGGAATGATAGTGCAATGTTAAGCACATGATATTGAATACTAGTGGAAATTTTTGCACGATACCAACAGGAAATAAAAGTGAATGGCAATTATCCGTAGATGTGCCATATCAAAGGTGATGAAAATGCAACAAAATCGTGTGGTGTTTTGAATTTTGTACCGACTTGTTCAGTAGGCAAAAATGACCATGAATATATATGTAGGGATAGCACTGGTACTCAGTGACCTTCCTGCATTGTAAATGGTGAATTGAAGCGGAATTGGGATCAAACATTAACGTGGCACAGTCTGTTTTGGTTAGGCCTCCCTTTGGTTATATCACCCTTTTGCAATGTAATCTCCCATGAGAGGATTCATTGTAACCACAGTGCTACATGTACGTGTACTTGGTCCGGGAAACTTCCATAACTTTCTAAGCTACACATATAGATATAAGTCAATGACCTAAACAAATTTCATTTCTATTTGAAAATTTGCAGAGCTCCCAACTTTGTCCGAGAGAATGTTGTGCCAACAGAAGAACCTGCACGCCAGCCCCTTGTGCCCCACCTGCTGGCTTCACTTCCTCATTGTTCTGTGTCTGACGCTCAGCGCAAGAGGTTTGCACATGGCCCACGCCCAAGCAACAGGTAAATATCTTGGCTTAGAAAGTCGTTTGAACTTTCTACCGTACGTGTGCAGTGTGCTCTGCCTCTAAAACTTAACAAAATATCCTGGTATGGTCAGAGCAATTGGGATACCTGCAATCTTAGAGGGATCTTTTGTGGAAGTTTCCGGAGAACGATTTGCTAAATTCTTTCTCTGTTTCTCAATGGGCCTTTGTTTCGTTCCCCTTTCATTCTGTTCTCTTAACAAACAGTGGTGATATAATTTTCAATGAAATCAAAAGGCACCTCTGAACGTCGGGCATTGAATGGATGAAGGGTTCCCTACCCTCGGTCACTTTCAATAAAGGTCAATAAATCCCCGAAATATCATTTAGTGTGGGATTTTCAGTTTGAAGTGGAAATACGATTCAACACTTTGACATATATTCATAAACTCAATTTCCTGCTTCCATGTTAATCATATTTGGAGAATGGTTCATTGTAATTTGTTTTTTAGATAAATTTGGAAAATGAATCAAAGAAAACTTAACTCATAATTTCAAAAATTGTAATCAAACTCAATATTACGTAAACTCAACATTACCAACGTAACTGAAATTCACCAGAATTTCACTCTCTTTGCAGTTTGTGCTAAATTGAGAGAACTACCCACCCACGATAAGTTTCCTAAATTCATCGCATGATCAAGTTTTTTCCCGTTCATTTCCCACTTCCTGTATTTCGTCCATTTTCAACATTCTGCACTGTAGTCATCATTGGGGAGTCAGCCGGGAACTTTGTATTGTTTTTTCCTTCAGGGTCAAATATCATGCCTTAGTATCAGGGGAAAAAACCGAAAAATGTGCAGTGAAGGACATACCCTGTGAGGGGTCTCAATTTGATGTAGCAAAGCTGTATCAAAGGGAGCTCATGTTGCCCCGTATAGTGTCTGTGGCATACTTATAGTGTACTTGCTGAAACCAGATGTTTCTTGGAATAACTGAAAGTGGGGATATGACCCTGAAAATATTTTCACCTCTGTGTCTCCCTGAGCTTTCAAATGTCCAACTGACATGACAGTTCTGGCGTTTGACACTTTAAGAACTGGGTTTTCCACCAGTTGCCCAGATGCACGTTGCAATTGCAGGTTAAATGTTTGTAGTCTGCTACATTTATATGTGAATATGCATTGTACATTTTATTGGATTTTTTTGAGCAGTGCATCAGAGGAACACAAAATGTAGGCCTACGTGTACATATACACGTACCTACATGTACCAGTAGTGTACGCATGCCTACCCCATTTTTTTTTAAATCTCAGCAGAACAATGTTTTTTTTTTTATTGACTGCATTTTGATGTACGAGTACATTAGCACCGTTGTGCATGCGCTTTTGATCAAATGTACAAAATGCATCAAACACTGCAGGTTTACCGTAGTTTCTTTGTACTTGATGGAAGAACAATTCAGCTTTTGGGCTGAATGCCAAGCAGTGTTACCAAACTCTACAATATTGGCAGTGAAAACTTTGTGGGTACCAGTTATACCGGTGCATTCAGACACACACAGGCCTATTTTATACTTGTACTGTGTCTTCTGTAATTTGAGTTTGTTTGAAGAGTCCAGATTTGGCCTGAAGGGGGAAAAAAGTAGACCAAGAGTATAGTAAAGGGTACATGTACAGTGTACTCATGTATCATGTAAATGTACATGTAAGAAAGACTACACCATTTTATACACTCTAAGCATCTCTTACTGTGTGTCAGACCGTACATGTACATGTACTTCCAACATGTACATGTATGTGAACTACTGTACATGTAGTACTAGAAAGATCCAGCATAGGCAGTTTCCTGAGAGTTCAAATGTTGTCTGCACCAGGTCGCTGATCAGATGGACAATTACACAGGAACTAAAGTAACAAGCCATGAAATAATTAGTCTTTTAAGATGCAAATTGTTGAGATTTGAAGCTTGTCATGGTGGAAGTAGCAAGTAAACTAGATAGGTACAGTACATGTATGTGAGGTTCTGAAAAGAACCAGTGGTACTCGACGTTTCTCCTGACGACGGACAGAGCATGCTGTCCAAAACGTCGAGTACCACCGGTTCTATTCAGAACCCCACATAGTCGCAAAAGAGATATATCCATGGTACCACTGCAAACCTGCCTAGTTTACATGCAAATTGTTCTTTGCTGCCTTCAAAATGCAATCCATGCTTAACCTGGCATTAACCTCTTCCACAATTTTCCCATTCACGTGTACATGTCCACTTTTGGTACATGTAGCATCAGGCCTGTACATTTGAATAACTTTACATGTACGTCAGTCATGCAGAAAAGAGTATAAAGAGTGAGGAGTGACCGGTACCACATTTACCAGTTTGGGTTAGTCACGAACTGCTGTCTGTTCACATTTCAGGTATTTTTGGTGACATCTTTGATGAATACATGTAGGTCTCTTTCTGATTTTCAGGCCAAACAAAACTTGTTTCTCCAAAGGCTTCAGCATGTTCAGGAAGAAAATTTTTCTTTTCATCATAACAGAAGCAAGCAAGGCGAATGGTTTCTGTGGGTGACGGCTGTGTTGGATGATTTTTGGCTGGCTTTGTGATCGAATGGTACGGTACCAGCTCAGTGATATCATGTACACTGAATGCCTGGTCCCAGTAGTTATACACAGCACATTGCGGTGTCAGTTTATCCATGGAGCTTTCATGTATAATCCTTGTCCTCAAGTGTGCAGTCACCCATGACACACTGTAATGCTGCTCAGCTCAGCGTGTACACGTACATGTACACCATGAAGGTCTTTTTTACTGTCTGGCCTCTATTTGGTGTTAGCAAGATTCTGTCACACTTCACGCCTTACGATCACCGGTTGTGAATTTTATGTACACTATTGTGACTGAAGTTTATACAGGATTCTAGCCACTTTTTTTTTCTGTGGTGGGCTGCGTTGGAAATAGGAACCAGACCAGTCTACTATGAATGGATCTTGGACCAGGGTACATAAAAAAAATCCTGCAGAGGTATGAATCTACCAAAAAAGAACAGATAAACATGAGTTGAAAGTAAACATGTGATCTGATTGAGAAAAGGAAGAAAAAAAAGAAAACAAATTGTGTTTTTGAGCAGACTCGATCCTGGCACGCTGGGAATGCAGAGAAATGTGCGTATTTACATGTATATATGTATTGCTGTCGCAATGTGTTCATCGTGAGTGGAAAATGAAACTTTTGGAAATGAAAATCACGCAATGTAATTCAGGAGTCATGGTATGGTTACTGTACCGGTTACTATAGCCACTTCGTTTACAGAATCATACAGGTGTGTGTCTATGGTACTCCCATGCATGTGCTGTACCAAAATAGAGCAGTAGTACTGTAGGATCCAGGTGGGACCCTGTGGATAGTACCCAGTACATGTACCAGTACATGTGTACATGTACATGTAATTTGGGCAGAGTAATATGCACACATACACATAGCCCACATGTACCCGGTAGGTATAAACTGTGGTACCGTACATGTTCCATAGATTTGATAAGTTTGTTGTCTTTATTCAGAAATGTAGAAAATAATCACAATTATTATAACAAACAACTAAATATTACTTCTCAACAATTTATCTATTACAGTGGACGTTCACAGTGAAATTCTTTTAAAAGAACAACCACAATCTATAAACAATACAAAATAATGGATATGGCATTTAGTAGTGCAATTGAAATCTATCATCATAAGAGCCAATCGAAAAACTGGAACTCAAAACATCTGTTTCAAATTATCAATACAAAGAGTACACCGACATCATCATCGCAAATTCTCCCCTCTGACTCAACATCTGAACTGTTAGCTGGTAACTTTGCAAACTTTTTTTCAAACAAAATTGAAGTTCTGAGAAATGAACTTGACAACTCGGCTACAGATTGTGCACCTGTCCATGATCCAGGTCCCAGTGCATCAGTTTGCCAATTCAGGGCATTTGCTGAGAATACAGTGAGACAACTCATCATGAACTCCAAATCCAAATCATACAATCTCGATCCTGTACCTACATGTACCTGGTTGCTGAAGCATTGTTGGGATGAGCTCACTCATTCAAAAATTCTTTGACCAACAAACGACGGAAAAGCTTGTCCATGCTTTTATCTCTTGCCGCCTTGATTTCTGCAATAATCTATTACACCGTATTCCTGATTCTCAAACTTCGAAACTTCAGCGCATTCAGAATTCCGCCGCCAGACTTGTTGCACGTTCATCATCTAGGCAACATATAACTCCTATTCTTCTCACACTTCACTGGCTTCCAGTCAATGAGCGAATTGCTTTCAAAATTCTACTCCTCACTCACAAATGCATCAATGGCTCAGCACCAGCATACCTCCGTCAACTTATTCAAGTATACCAGCCAACGACGCACCCTCCATTCTAGCTCAGCATTGCTGCTCAATACACCGGTCACTCGCACTAAAACTTATGGACATCGTTCCTTCATGCCTGCATCGCCATCACTTTGGAACTCTCTTCCACGCCATATCAGAACTGTCAATAACAAAAATGAATTTAAAGCAGTCCTTAAAATTTACCTGTTCCATTAAATGCTCTTAATTGTTGTTTCTTGTGAAGCGCATCGAGACTTTGGGTGATGCGCTATATAAAAACTGTGATATTATTATCAGATATTCATTTGCATCTTTTGTTTCAGTAAGGTCAATGCGTAATGCCCCCCATCATCCAATTATCTGCACCGCTGATATTTTATTTAATAACCATTCTGTTAACGAGATGAATGGAATCCAGTACAAATGACTGTCTATAATGAGTTGTGTTGCTGCAGGGAACACAAAGGTGCACTCTGGATCTGTTATTACTGTAATTGCTGAACAAAGGATGAGATGGGTGTTTCATGATGCTGCATCGTGCATGTACTTTTGACCATGGACAATGTTCTGTCATTTTACATACTTGCAAGGGTGCATGCCACACCTATAATTTTTTTTTTTTCACCAATTACATACATGTATATGTACAAATGTACATGTACGTACTGAAGTCTCCACGGGTGTGTACACACTAGTTTGTGCAGATGTGTAATCATCTGGGTCGGTGTGATCTCTTCAGAGCAAAGTTGAAGTGGCAGGAAGTTGGAATCGCACAGAGTTTCATTCCCAGCACAGCCCTCACAATAAGTAGTATTGAAAGCAAAGGGAAATTTGCTCCCCATTCTATATTTGACGGCAATTGAAACCCACAATACATGTAAGTACATCAGTATACGTTTACTTCATTGCCTGTACCCTAAGCACCCTGTTGACCAATAAATGATCTTTGCACTTGTGGATGTGACAGCCATACCGGAACAACGCACACAATAAATGTATGACTTCACCCTTTCTGTAAAGGTTGAAACCACAAGAAGTTAATTGTGTCACTGTAAACCTTGGCCGTGGGTGTCAGTTTCCCTACTGCTATGGTGCCAGCCAGGAAATCTCTGACAGCGCATCCCCGAAACACATGTCAAAATAATTCTGCGTTATATGGTGAAATTAATGACTTCCTTGTGAGTTGAGGTCAGACTCATGGGGGGGAGTTTCCCTGGTTGAGGAGGGTGTAATTGGTGGTATAAAACATGTAGGCATATATATTAACTTGATACCCGTGCAGTACCGTAGGCTACATTGCAGTAGAAAGTAAACACAATTGGAAATTCTGTGGAAAGAATTCATGTTCACATCCAAATTCACAATGCACTAGATGTGAAATGTTTATTCCACCTGTGTGAAAAACAGACGACAATTTCCCACATGTGCATAAAGGTGTGAAATTGTTTTTCCCCTTACAATTTACAAGTACTATAATTAAAAAGGTGCAAAAATGTTAACCCACAGCGGGCAATTGTCTATACAGTTTATGAAATGAAATTGACTTCCCTAAGAAAAGACAACAAAATGTGAAAAAACTTTCACATTCCCCAGTTAATTGTCAGTGGCAATGTACCAGTACGGTACACGTATAGTTACGGTTGGATGATTTTGCAATACATTTGCATACAGTACACTGTTTCCTGTAACTTGGTTCAGAGTGTACATGGGTTGCAAAACTTTTCAAAACATGGAAGGGTTAAAGGTGTGTTCACTGTGTAAATATACTGCAGTGTCCCAAACATCATTGTCATTTGAATATTCGGTGTGGACATTTATTGAGTTCAGTGTGCCTCAGTGTCTCTTGGGAATTTCCTGCAGCAATCAGTGAAGGGTCGTATAGGAATGCCGTTGGGCCTACGTGTTCATGTGCAAGTGCCTTGTACCACAGAGGATGATTGGGAGGGGGTCATCTGAGATGACATCGGCAGGCATTTTTGTCAAGACCTTGGCACATCCTTTCATCAATAAATTACAGTCCCGATCTCTTTTGCCCAAATTGTGCAGGGGATGCTGGTGTTCCACATGTAGGCCTACATGGAGGTGGGACTTTGACCTACAAATTGTGACCCTGTTTTGAGAGAATGACTGGCGATTTGCCACTACTTGTAGCTCATTTGTCATCTTTAGGAGTGAAATGGGATAGTTCGTGTACATGTACACATTTCCCCAAAACAAAAGTGGTGTTTAATTACCCCCTGTGGGCTTTGTTCAAATTCCTGCTTTTCCTGTGTACACATGTACATGTACACGTACACCTACAGGACATGATGATAAGCCTCCTTTATAATGAACTACACATGTAGTGTGCTGTAGTCTGAGTTACTGCACAGCCAGTATACCGGATGTACATGTACAAAGTACCACATACATGTACATGTAAATGTCAATGTATGCATGTACAGTACATTGAACATGTGGTACAGTAACATATACATTGAACATGTGGTACAGTAACATGTACATGTACATTGAACATGTGGTAAAGTAACATGTACATGTACACATGTACCGGTATGCACATCAGGCAGTATAACCGCACGCCGGAATTCATGCCAAGTTGATCTGTGGTAAATAACAAGTGAGCATACCCCAGATCATATCAGTATGGAGTCTCTAGCAATGGAATCCTGCAGTGTGCTGCTTGAGGAGGGCAATGGCCGAATTGCTGGCTGGCAAAAACACTTGGGTATCGGAAGCTGAAGATTAAGGGGGGTAGAAAAGGGGTGTTTGACCTCTGTTATTGAAAGGGGGGGGGTTGAAGGTATTCATGGCAATGATTTTGAAACTCTACTTGTGCATGCAAATTCAACCTGTTGGGATGTATCCTTGTGCAGCAATGGTGCAAATGGAAACTTGTTTGTACCGGCAATATTGTTTTGAGGAGTGCAAGCTACATTGAAGTGTCTTTGTGCCCCCTAGTAGGAAAATGTCGGGGCTGGAAATGTCCTTTTCTTGTTGGTTGTGGTAGAGTAGGGAGCATCAGTACTCTGTAGGTGTGTATATACATGTACATGTCCATGCATCGGTTTTGCTTAGTTACATGTACATGCAACAAGGTGTTAGAGTTGCAAAAGTGTTGAACATGCTGGTGTCTACACACTGGGTAGTACATTACATGTTCACGTACCTTGTTTTAACGTTTAACTGTTTTTACACACAGAGACACATGTCCCAGGTACTTTACTGGTACATGTGCGTGTATGTGTACCATACTTTGCGTAGATGCTGACATACAATACATGTACATGTATGTAGTTCTGATTTGAGAAGTGAAAAGGTTTTTTACTGCACCTTCCAGCTTTGAAATTTTTATATTATGACCGTTAAACTTAACTACATGTACTGGCAGTTTTCGGTTCATAGTGCATACATGTACATGTACATCTGGCGTGCAATCCTGATGCAGGCCTTCATGTACAGTAATGCACCCTAGCAAGAGATCCCTTTTTATTGATCAAACCAAGAGTTTGTCTGACGAGTGAAGTGATTCAGTGAAAGGGTTGCCAGGCAGGACACTTGCCGACAGGGCCCCATTCGCATTCCTTGATCTTTTTCTTCTCTTTATTAATTCTTTTCAGAAACAGTTCAGATCTTTCCCCTGGAGCCTACCATCCTGGCTGGCACTGGCTTCAACCTGACGTGCACTGTCAGTCATTCCAGCAATGTTCTGGCCAAGGACATTGCATGGAACCACAACCACATGGCGTTGCCTCGCACTCAGTTCAGTGCCTTTGACGACAAGACCTCACAGTTGAGCGTCCAGGATGCCCGGTTTGAAGACAGTGGTCTTTATGCCTGCTTTGCTCAGGGCATTAGTAATGAAACTCAAGTGTATGTTGGAGGTAGGTATACATGGAATTGTTGTTTTCTTAGTTGAATTTTCTTCGTTTGTCACGAAAGTTTTGATTTGTTTGTTGTCTTGGTTTTTCATTTACAGTTTAACTTTCATTTTGAGGGTTATTTTATCTTTTGGGGGATGGTTTTCTTTTTAGTTTGGTTTGGTTTCATGGTTTTTGTTTTGTTTTGTTTGGTCTTTCTACTGTATCTGTGACAACAGGCAGTCACACAAAAGGAATGTGAACCATAATCATAAGTGCTATTTTCTTGCTGACGTACTCAGTAAACAGACTGTATTCATGTGTCAGCCATCTTGAATTGAATGAGGTTAACTTTTCATCTTGGGAACCTGAGAGTAAAACATTTACAGCAGTGAAGCAAAAGTTTATTATAAATTTGTGCCAGTTGATGTTTAGAATACTGAAAGAGTGGCAGCAATGAATTTTTCTGCATCTTTGTACTTTCCTTTAATGAATGAAAACTCTTACACACTCACATTTGGTTAAATGCATTGAAAAGTGCACATTTTTAAACATTCAAAATTATCCATGTTTTCCCGGACAACTGAGGGCATTGTTGCTGTGAAGTCATGTAGGGAAGACATGCTTCAGTGCATAGGTATTTCTGTTCAAATTGAAAACCCAGTTTTTACTAACTGAAAGCATTTCTGAGAGAGGAATTGATGGTTTCCTATTGATATGCACCTAAACAACAATGAAACAGCAAAACGAGAAAACAAAGTCCAGGAAAAACTCCCCAAATGCAAGACTTTTTGTGTAAAAATCAATGTAACATTGAGACTTTTTCCTGAGATGACATCACAGTGTTGCTCATGAATATGGAAATATCATGAGCATAAAAACCAAGAAGGCATTAAAATACCCGTTGAAATAGTGAAACTAAAGTTTAAAATAAGGTTTACTGAGTCACAAAGGTGCATTTTACAGGTTTGTAATAAAAAACATTAATTGTAACTACCCTTTAAAAAGATGTGATAGATTTTAACTTTTTCAAGCCCCATACTGCTGCACATGTATTTAAAGAAACCAAAAGTGAGACTTGCAACCAAAAAGTCGTACCACTCCATTCAACAGAAGGCATTGAATGTAATCGAAAATGAATTCCCTGTGAATAATGTTCATTGTGAGAACACCAATGCAAACATCTGCACTTTTTATGTAGATTTAATATCAACGAAATAAAATTACCGGTATGTCGTCCTTCCTTCATCGGTCACTCGAAAGTGATCGTCAAAATTAGGCCTATGCCAAAATTTGATTATTGAATGCTCAATTATTTTTCCCCCGCTTTAAATATTCTCACTCGTAGGTGTAATGTAATGGAAGGAAACAGAAAAAACTTGTATTTCCTTTTAACAAAATTACATGTAACTTCATAATGTAAAACCTGTACATGCACCATCTGTGGTTTTGACTCTGGCAATAAGCCAACATGTATAGGTATCCATATATGTACCGCAGCTGACTTCAACACCCCCTCCAGAAAGACAGAAAGCTACTGAAGCCAGTGCAGAGAGTGTGGCACCAGCTTCTTATTCATCAAACCAGGGGACATGCTGTTATGTCCCCCAAAAGTCTCTGGTTTGTGGTCAGGATCTGATGGCTCCAAAAGTGAGGGTTTTTTCCCTCACTTTTTTTTCTGGAAATGATTTACTTACTTGTGTAACACGCGATGCCCATTGCGACTGTATGCACACATAATGCCAGCTGCTACCAACACTAAAATAGACTGGCCCCTGCATGTTTTACTGTTTAAAGAGCATTTCAGCTTGTACATGTACACAGGACATAAGACTACATGTACATGTGTACCTCGTTTGTCTGGTTCCCAGATGTAAATGTATAATACAGAAATGAGGTCATCTGAAAAAGAGAGCCTGACTTAATGTATGGGGAACTAGAGAGACTCCGTTATTGTACATACATCTATTACTCAACCGTAACTCATCAAAAACATGTTAAAAATACACAATAGCAGGATTCCAGTCGATTAAGCAAGTTAGGCAGCTTTTGGATATCGTTTTATACCAAATAAAAACCTTTTTTATTTTGCCGATGCGCATGTATGCAGCGACGCGTGCGCTGACTAGAAACTGGAGACTTTTTTTTGCCTTACGGTACATGTCCATGCACCTTTCAAGTTCCACTCATTGAAATCGTTTTCCATGCATTATCACTCTCAAGAGTTGTGTCTGACCCACCCCTTGTGATTAATAAATTAAACTGAGAAACAAAGTGGAATAAGGTTTCACACAATGAGCCTATGACAAGTTGTTGAAATTGACCACAAAAGAAAAACCTCCACAAATTTGATTGTTTTCAACTCGACAGTTTTCGGGTGCCGCACATTGATGAATAATTCCGAGAGTCGGAACAGTTCTTCATACGTGTTTTGATTGTCAATTTTGAAGTCACACACCTATCCATGGTGAATAGAAGTGGCCTTGTTTTTATCACCTGTGAAATTTCTGATGTTGCTGGTAGGGTATGTACATGTAGAGTACCAGTAGGGTACGTGTACATTTATGTATAGCTTGTGGGAAATTGCAGGGGAAAACACCTATCAATTTTGTGAACAGAATGTTACATGAGTTAGCTTCCTAATAGGGCAAGGGTGTGATTTGTGCATCTTTTTCTTGAAAAGCACACTTTCAAAAAGTGCATCGACAATTGTCACTGCTTGTCATGGCAAGTTAGGGCGCTGTTGCCATGATGGCATTACAGGGGAGTCTGTTCAGATTTTGAACCCGATATGAATTGAAACTACAAGTGTACTGTATGTGCGAGAATTACTCTGCAATGTTCGGCATGAATGTCACGAAAATTGGGCAACTTTTAGTCAAACTTGCTGTAAACAGTTTTGTCTGCATGTTAAGAAGAAATGCTGAGTGAGGAACCACAAACAAATAGGGAAAGGTCATGGGGAATTAAGGAGGAAATTGGGTTCATGAGAAAGTCGTAAAACTGAAATCTCCGAGACTGGAAGTGGTCCAAGCTGACCACACAACATCCTTGACTGACCTGTATACCCTTCTGAAAGTACACTGATATTTTCTTAAAAAATAGATGGGAGCAGAACGGGTTATAAAGAGGAGGAGAGAGAGGGGAAGGGCATCTTCAAGATTTTAACTTGCCATGTATCAAACAGAGCGCGAAATTAGACCCAAAAAGTGCTGGGACAAAATGTCACAACACAATCAAATTTGTTCTGCCAATTACTATCATTTAATCTGCCATATTATATAAAAGGTAGAGTTGTAACAGTGTCAGGTGTCAAAATACAGTTTGTTTTTCCTGGTCCTACCAGAACCACACACCCAGCCGCATTGAGCAATCCTTGTTTGGGCGCAGGCCATGACAATTTATTTTTTTTTTAATTTGCCCAATCAGGTAGGCCATGTCATAAATTTCCTTGATTGAATTGGATCAACACTTGCCAAAGATTTATTTAATTAACTAAAGCCTACTTCATACATGCAGTATTTTATTAGGCCAAACAAATACATGTAGTTGTGCTGTGCATGCCTCTCAAAAATTGGGTCGGTAGGTCGGAACTTTTTT